TCAGAGATAACAAAAAAATATTTTAAAGGAGCCACCACATGGCATGAGCATGTCACAGGGCTCATTGTATGTTGTAGTACTTGTAAAAAATGTTAAAGTAAAGGACCCCTGGATGGTTGCGTCCAGTCACAGGCGACCTTGGGGTGTGGCGTTCATCTCACTTTTTAGGCTGAGGGAGGTGGCGTTTGTCCACAGACAGCTTTCCGGGTCACGTGGCCAGCTTTTGGCGCAACGGAACACCATGACGGAAGCCAGAGCACATGGAAATGCCATTTACCTTCCTGCTGCAGCAGTAGTACTTGTAAGCACTCATAACATGAACACCACCCAATAGGTGCCCATCATACTCATTCTACCATATTCCACAAGGCAGTAGGAACTAATAAGGGACAGGGAAATGAATGTGTAACATTTCCTTCGGTCACATCCTTCATTTCCCCACATGGTTCTGCTAATTACCTGAGTTACACATCTTCAGCATACAGCTTCCACCATCACCACCAGACCTTATTTTCCAAGCAGAAGACACAGGGAGGATTAGGAGGTTGTATCTGTGCACTTCGTCTTTCTCCATTACTTACATTTTTGGGGAAATGTTGCGCACGCCTTGCTGCAATTGCAAAGAAATGCAGAGGAGATTATGAAGCATAAAACGTCCCCATCTTGTTTTCAAGGCAGTGGCTGTAGATATTTTTCATCAAACTTCCCTTCTCACGCAAAAGAATTTTGATTCTTTTGGAACACGCTATCCCTCCTGATATTATGGCAAGGTTCTCCAATAGGAAGACCCCTATTCTCCTCCTAGAGCTACAATTCCCAGAGTGGTTTAAGAGGGGTCAATCCCTCTTCCCAGAGACCTCTGTAGTTTGGGGTGGAGGGCATAGGGGGTCTCCTATCAACTCTCAGCACCCTTACCAAACCATAGCTTCCAGGATCTTGGGTGGGTGGGGAGAGCCATGACTGCTTAAAGTGGTATCATAATGCTCACCATATTTTTCTGTGTATAAGACGCCCCCTTGTATAAGACTCAAATTCTGGGGGACTCAAATTTTAGAAAATGGGGGGAGATGGCGCAGAGTTGTTGAGTTTTTTTGGCGAGGATTGCCCAAGGCTGTTCAACTACTTTTTAGGGGGGTAGGGATGACGAACTCACCTGGCTGACAAACGCTGCAAAATGAACGCGTCGCAGAAACAAACAAGCATCTGCTCGCTTGCCACCAGAAGCCGCCAATTGCTCGCCCAACTGCTGCAGCTGCAGCTACTCCACAGCAGCCCTTGCCGCAGCCACCAGTCACCAACCAAATTGCTGAAGAAAGCCAATTGATGCAGCCACCAATCACTAAACCAATTGCCGCAGCAGCAGCCAATCCAAAGCAGCCCTTGCCGCAGCCATGAATCACACACACATTCGCCACTGACAAGCTCCTGCTAGCAGCTGCAACCAATCGCTCATCCTCCATCCTCCTGCACTATCCGTGTATAAGACACCCCTCTCCGCATTTTGAACATTATTTTACAGTAAAAAAACCCTCGTCTTATACATGGGAAAGTTTGGTGTATGTTGACATGAATGGGTCCCTAGAGGGAGTTCTCTGTTCCGAGGGCTGTCCAGTTCAAGTCCAGTTTAAAGATAAAGGATCCTAAGAAGAGAGAGCAGGAACCTTGAAGGAGCTGAACAGGAGACTGAGAAGGCACAAGGCTCACCTGTTCCCAGTCTTACCCACTAAGGTGAGATATACTGTTTATTTTTCATTTATATAATGGTAATTATTTCTGTTTGCATCTATGAATCTAAATTTCATGTGCAAACATCCTACAAAATTGTGTCCTGTTTTGTCCTTTTTATAGGCTTTTCAATATATTCCCTCCTTTTGGGTGATGCATAAGTGGTTTCCCTATGGTCTCCCCACAACCAGCCATAGAAACACCGAGCAAAGCCTAATTTATCATATAAATAGTTATGTACCTCATACAGAGGTTACTGATTCTTGGATATGTCTATATCTTGTACACCTGATAGCATTGCCTGAGACTGAGGTGCTTCAGTTGCTGAGGGATGCAGGCTTTGAGTAGCTTTCGTGTGCCAACAGTGGGTCAGGAGTAGGCACTGCTGTTATCTTTCCTCAGAGCTTCACCCCATCCTCATTTTTGATCTGCCAAAACACAATGTGCAGCTCAGTTTCCAGAGCAAAGAAGCCAGGAGAAACAACTGAATTCCCCTCCACAAATTCACAGGTTTCTTGGCTCATCTAAGCTGTAACTCTTCTGAGAGTAATGCAGGTAAATGTGTTCTCTTTTCCCCCACCTCCCCCCAAGCAAAGATTCATTCGGGGGTATTGATTTTTTTTTTTTAATAAAAAAAAAACTATTGTGTTTTTATGGGCAGCATCATTGGACTGTAGTTGCACTGTAGCTCTAAATCAATAATTATCAAAGTTGTCTTTGCTCATTTGAGTGCCCTTGTTTCCTCCCTGTGATACAGTAGAACTTTGAGCATAGCTTTCTTCTTAATTACATGCCTGAGCGGTTACTTCTTGATTGGAATATTTGTTTTAGGCGAGGGAGTTTGCTGCTTGGGAGCGAGTTGCTACAAGAAGAATAACAATAGCTCTGATTCAACTGGATTCTGCTCAGGACTTGCGATGACAGTGGAGCAGATTAGAAAGAGCAAAGATACCGGGCCATGCATCATGTCATGATCGTACCATCACCTTGCCTTGAGCATGGGGAAAACCATTACAGCAGAAAACCAATTGTAGGATACCATTCTGATGAGTAGCAAAATGGGGCCATAGCCATGAGTGGATCAGGACATTAATTGGATCTAGTCAGAGGTTGATTGCCGTTGATCCATTCTCTGCAACGCTGCTATGGGCTAGTGGCCACCAGATTAGAAAGCTTCCTCTGAGTTGGTGGGTGCTCAGTATTCTGGGGGAGGGTGATACTTTTGTGTACTGCTGCCTCACCACAAAATGGAAGGCAAGGGCAAATTGAGAATCATTGAATTATAGAGTTGGAAGGGACCCCAAGCGCCATCTAGTCTAAAAGAGGGGAAATGGCTGCTGTATACAATGGAATAAGTTTGAGTAAAGCAGGGATGGAGGAACACTGAGAGGAAAATGATGGTTTTCAACAATGGCAGGGGTTGGGAAACCACTGCTTTCCCCCTGCGTTCTCCTCCCTACTCATTCCCATGACACAGCCATGGCTGTAGCTCTACTTACCTTCTCTTTTGTTCCATACCCTGCCCTGACTTAGTTCTCCTTCATAAAACCTTTCATCCTCCCTTTTCTTTTCTTTTTTTCTGGACCTGTTATGTCCTTATAGTTGCACTTTGTCCTTATAGGGTTTCTGCATTCTGGCCCTTTGGACTGGGAACGGGCAAATTTGTCAATTTTGGTTTCTTTAAGTTCTTCACTCTTTCCCCATTCTTCAGTTCTCCACATTCCCACCTCAGTTTGCATTAAAAAAATAATAACAATCCCACGAATATTCACCAGCATTTTAGGTGAATTTCTCCTATTATACATAGGCTTGTATGCATGTTTGTCTAATATACACATTTTAGAAAAGCAGTTCCTTCCAATGTGTCTTATCTTTGCTAATATGTGCAAGTGTATCCATTTTCCGACATGTTACTTGGCTGGAGAACTGCTGCAAAGTCTGGAGATGTGCAAATTTCAAAGGACAGTTGTGCTTCAGTTCACATATTGTTTTGGGAAAAAATGAATTAGGTAAGTTTGCCTTTAAATGGAACCTGAATTGAATTTCCCTAGTCGTGACTAGACTTTCCAAGAGGTTCAGGGATAAAGTGAAAGCAGGGTGGGGAAAAGGAAGAGGGAGAATGACAGAGGCTGTTGCAAAATAAATGATGGACATCTACATTTCCCCTGTGTTTTTTCACCCTGCCCTAGTGAGTCCACCTTGCTATGTACAAGTGGGCAGAGCCTTTGTCCTTTCTTCCACCCAAATGACAGCAAGAAGCTTTGTGTCCAGTCCTGTGGGGTACAGATCTTCAAGGGTAAACCTTAGGACCTACTCCCAAAGTCAAAATCACACGCAGACTCACTTTGTGCTGCTAAGACCTTTGAGTTCTCATAGATTTGATGGGGGGGGGGACGGACGACAGAAGTTTTATCCGCCTGAGACAGGTGTATTTTCAAATTGTCCTTCACTGGAGTGTTCTTTGTTTAACAATGAAAAACCGCCAGCTTCTTATGGATGGCTCAAAGCGAGATGATCGCAACCCATGGCTGCTGAACTTTATTATAGAGATGGAAAGCTGCCAGCATACTGCCAGTTTGTGCTAGCTGACATTAGTTGCTTGAAGCATTGGAGTCACCTTCACAGAGGGTTGGTTGGAGGAGGTATGTCTTGGGCTCTAAAAACGGACCGTGTTTCTCTCTGATCAAATCTCTGTAAAGACAGAGTCAATTACTTCCAGCAAAGTTAGTGGGTGATCAGTCATTTTTAATGAACCCAGTTTCTTCTCATCCGTGGGGATTTATTTAGGGGTAGCAGGGCCATCGAGACATCCAATTAATGAGAACAGTTTCAGAAAACACTTGCAAGAAGTACAGCACAATCCTATGTAGGCTTACCCAGGTGTAAGTCCCATTGTGTTCAATGAGGCTTACATCCTATAATGTGTTTTGGACTGCAGGTTTAGTATCCTATTATCTGTGCATTGGAGAAGTACAGTGGCTGCTGTTACACATCAGCACATGCATCCATGCAGAACTCTCCAGCTATGCTCCTCTTTCCTGGCTGTGTGCGCGCATATGCCATTCACCACTGATGCTTTTTCTCTCTCTTTTCTTGTGAGCCACTGTGTTGTATATACAGTTATGTGCTCATGCCTCAAAACTCATCAAGGCTAGTTAAAATTCTAACTCACACAACACATCCATTTAAAACTACTCTCGAAGAATAATAGAATTATAGAGATGGAAAGGACCCAAGGTTCATGTAGTCCAACTCCCTGCAATGCAGGAATCACTCACCCAACATGGGGTTTGAACCTACGGCCCTGAGATTAAGAGTCGCATTCTCTATTGGCTGAGCTTGTTGGCTATTTGTAGCAGCGCTGCAGAGAGCTTGTTGGGGAGACCATGCATTAAAAAGGGACTCAAAAATAACTTAAACAAGGTTTTAATTACAAAAACAAAAACTCATTTTACACTAAATAAATCAACAAACAAACATGACCCAACCACCAACCCATCCCCCAGGGTAATGGGAGAGCTAGGTGCTGCTCCTCATATACTACACCCAATTGCCAACACAGCTTAATCAATACAACTCAGCAGCACCTGCTATGTTTCACAGCTGTAAAGCTGGGTCTCGTTATCTTGCTCTGGCCCTTGCTCTGGCCCCTTAAAGACATACACATCGGGTGGAACAATGATGAACCTTTACATTTAAAGTAACCATTCAACAGAGCTATCCAGGTAGAACAGAATCTCAGACATTTTATTGCTATATACGCCAAAGCCATCAGGCTAAAGCTGCTGCTGACTAAGCAAAGAGCAGTCCTTGCTCGGAAAAGGCTGCATCAGAACAGGCCAGATGTATGAAAATGATGTATCAATGGTACTTATCTCCTGTTAAACTTGCAAAAATGTATAGAACTAGTTCCAATAAGTGCTGGAAGTATAAAGAGAAAGAAGGTAAGTTTTATCATATGTGGTGGAAATGTAAAGTAATCAAAAAAACTTTAGGGAAATGATAGATAATGAATTGAAGAAGATGTTTAAAATCACTTTTGTTTAAAAACCAGAAGCATTTCTGTTAGGAATAATAGGACAGGAATTACCAAAAGAGCAGAAGAAGTTATTTATATACGCAACAACGGTGGCTAGGATTCTCCTAGCCCCAAAATGGGAAGACGATAAGATACCAATGAAAGAAGAATGGCAAGTCAAACTTATGGAATATGGAGAAATGGCAAAACTTACAGAAAGAATCAGAAACAGTGACAATGAAGATTTTAAAAAAGACTGGGAACCTTTTATGTTGAATTTACAGAAATACTGTAAATAAATGGACTCACTAGCAGGGTTTGATTAAACAATTACAAGTAAGAAAACAAGTCTAAAGGCCAAGAAACACTAATATGGAATGTAATTTGGTGTAAGATGTAATTATGAAAGAAAATTTGGTGCAAAAATGATAAGAATTTAAGAGAATTCAGATATAAGATCATAAAAACCTGATAACAATTAAGCAGACATAGTAAATATTTAAAGATCCAGAAGGGAAAGTTGAGGGAGGTCGGGTGTGTGTGTCTTTTTTCTTTTATATGATAAATGTTATATTGTGTTGTTTGACTGAATATTAAATTGTAAGGCCCAATATAAGAACAGGCCAGATGTAGAAATGAAAAATGCAGGTGACATTTGTCAATTGTTTATATATATTATTGCTGATGTGTACTTTTATCCTACATTTGGGGAATTGAGAATAAAAGTGAAGGCTTCCTGTTTCTAGTGCACCAGGAATTGAGTCTCTTTCAATAGTGGCACTCCCTTCCCCATGGAATACGAGGGAAGGCAAAGGCACTGGGTGCACAGAGCACTCCAGCTGCCCCGACCCCCCCATCCCGTTCCTGGAAGCACAGGTTATCTTGTTAACTGGACTTTAATTGGAGTAAACTACAGGAGCATGCCAGAAAAGATGAGATAGGAAACTGCAAAAGCAACCCAGCTACAAGGATGTGAAAGGTTTGGACTGAGAGAAGATTTCGTTCGGTGTCCAGTTCTGGGCACCACAATTTAAGAAGGGTGTTGGCAATCTGGAATGTGTGCAGAGGAGGGCAACCAAGATGATCAAGGGTCTGGAAACTAAGCCTTACGAGGAACGCTTGAAGGAGCGGGGTATGTTTAGTCTTGAAAAGAGGAGGCTGAGAAGAGCTATGATAGCCACCTTCAAATATTTTAAGGGCTGCCACATAGAAGAGGGAGCATGCTTGTTTTCTCTGCTCTTGAAGGTAGGACTTGAGGCAATGGCTTCAAGTTACAAGAAAGGAGATTCCAACTAAACATTCGAAAAAACTTTCTGACAGTAAGAGCTGTTCAGCAGTGGGACAGACTTCCACCAGAAGTGGTGGACTGTCCTTCCTTGGAGGTTTTTAAGCAGAGGCCGGATGGCCATCTGTCATGGATGCTTTAGCTGAGATTCCTGTATTGCAGGGGGTTGGACTAGATGACCCTTGGGTCCCTTCCAATTCTAAGATTCTATGAATCTATGGTCAGACTAGGCATTGGTGCCTGAGCTTGGGTAAAATAAATGTACTATAGTGGGTATAATTCAGATTGTGTCTTGCTGGTGTATGACTAAGGAAACAACTTCAAGTATTTACTTCAAGTAAGATCATTGAATTTTATTATGCTTGGGTTGGAAATAAGAGGTCCAGGACAGATTTGTACAAACTGACTTAACCAGGGTCCAATATGATCTAGAAGCTACGGTTACAGTTTTCCATTCAGAAAACTTTTCTCTCCCACATTCTTAGCATGCATTAGATGTTCTTCCCAACCTTTGGGATTATTTTATCCCCTATTAATAATTTTCATCTGCGTCTTTGCATATCTTATAGGATATGCCTGCTCCCTGCCCTGCTGTTCATTTGTTACGGACTCTGAGACAGAAATAGAATTACATGCTCAGATGTACATTTCATTAGGTGGACATTTCATTTCCCCCACGACAATGCTTGAGAACATAATAGTTAGCAATTTGCTGCCTTTGAAAAATGCAAGACATGAAATTGAGATAAAAATGGTTTCGGCTCCATTTGGCAACAGCAGCAGATAAAGCCTTATTATTCTGCAATTTGGGTGAGCAGCATGCCCTATAAATCAGCATTATTAGGAAAGAGCTAGTTTTTCATCCCCACAGCAACATTTTCAGTATCACGGACAATAAAGAAGGTCGGCATCCACTTACGTCAGGGTAGGTAAAGTTACTTCTGTGTAGCGTCGGTCTACACACACACACACACACACACACACGGTTTTATTTTTAGTGTGTCCACAGAGATTTTTTTAATAATTTGTTCTAATTCCATGATATCATAACATCATACAAAATTTAATTATACAAAGGAACTTTACCAGCGCACCACAGTTTACTACATGCTACAAGAGAAAATTCACAAGCATGCTAAATGTACCCACTTAGCAATGACTATCCGTGAACCGCCCTGAGCTCTTTGGATGAAGGACAATATATGAATTCTATTAATAAATTAACAAGTTAATACCAGGGACTGCTCAGCCAGGAAGGAGTCTCAGTAATAAATCTACAGACTGGAGCACAAATGAGGCGTGACCAAAAAGGATGGTCTAGTTCATCCTCTCTTTCCTACAACTTTCAGTAAAACTCAGTGTGCAACATGACAACATCACACATCGTTTGTTGTCACTGCTTGGGACAAGAAAGGCTAAGCAGGCCAATGTCACAATGTCCCATGAAAAAAATGCAATCCAGTATACACTTCCAAAATTGTGAAAAATTGTAATCCAGTATACACTAAATACATCACTTCTGGTAAATGAGCCACCATAGTTGTTAGAGGGTTGTGAAAATTCGTGTCCCGGGCTTTTGAGACTCGTCTACCCATGTATTTATCTGAAACCAAAGGGGAGCATTGGTTGCCAGATGTGAAATATATTGGCATTATTTTCAGTTCTCCTACTTCGTTATATTACTATCTTAACTTCCAAACAGTAGGTAGTACTGTGTTCACAACACATAATAAAATTTGTCTAGCACTCTCAAGCTTCAGCAGGCTGTTTTTCTTTCAGGATGAGTGTGTGTGTGTGTGAGGAACTCGAAGAAATAAAATATGAACATCACTGGGAAAGCAAAATACAAGCCTATATGGAAGACTTGTCTGATGTTAGTATTACTGAAATACTGTTCTCCCTACAAATGTTTCATGTGATAATTTTCCTTTGCAAAAGTCAAGCTCCTATGCTTCGCAAATTATATTACCTCACCATTAGTGCTAGACGCTAGAATGGCAACACTTTAATCTTGCCAAAGGAAGTGTCATGACAACATCTGCTAAAGCAGTTTTGACAGAATTAAGCCTTAAGTGCTGTTCCAAATGGAATCTGCAACATATGTTAGCAGGCAGGCAGGCGGGTAGGCAGGCAGTGGTATTAAAAGGACTTCCTTAAAAACACTTTTAAAGGAGATATTTGTAACAAACTGAGGCAGATTTCCAGAGTTCTGGTGGCTGAAAATCAAATGGTTGCTATAAAATTGTGCAACTCAAAACAACCTGTATGTTGGTATAACATAATTTATTGCAGTGGGGTTGTTGCAAAAAAGCAGGTTAAGCCTTAAAAATTGATAATATTTTCTAACTGGAGCAGCTGGAAGATGAATGAATTTGCCTGGGGTAGTTGTGGAATCATAAGAGAGTTTATACAAAATCAGATAGCACATCTCATTTAAAAAATGGTCCAGGTTTATAGGTCCCAGATAGCAGGTCTACTCTCATGATAATGTACCGTAATCCTCATCATTCAATGCCATTTAGCCTTTACTAAGTAGAAGCTGGCCTGTCCCATTCTCACAATTTCAGCTTTGTTGTTGTTGTTGTTTAGTTGTTTAGTCGTGTTCGACTCTTCTTGATCCCATGGACCAGAGCACGCCAGGCACTCCTGTCTTCCACTGCCTCCCGCAGCTTGGTCAAACTCATGTTGGTAGCTTCGAGAACACTGTCCAACCATCTTGTCCTCTGTCGTCCCCTTCTCCTTGTGCCCTCCATCTTTCCCAACATCAGGGTCTTTTCCAGGGAGTCTTCTCTTCTCATGAGGTGGCCAAAGTATTGGAGCCTCAGCTTCAGGATCTGTCCTTCCAGTGAGCACTCAGGGCTGATTTCCTTCAGAATGGATAGGTTTGATCTTCTTGCAGTCCATGGGACTCTCAAGAGTCTCCTCCAGCACCATAATTCAAAAGCATCCATTCTTCGGCGATCAGCCTTCTTTATGGTCCAGCTCTCACTTCCATACATCATCACTACTGGGAAAACCATAGCTTTAACTATACGAACATTTCAG